GTGCAGTTCTGGTGCCCTCAACATAAGGACATGGAACTGTTGGAGCAAGTCCAGAGGAGGGTCACAAAGTTGGTAAGAGAGTTAGAGCATCTCCTCTATAAAGACAGGCTGGGGCAGTTGAGACTGTTCAGCCCCGAGAATAAAAGGTTGCATGGAGACCTCATAGTAGCTGTTCAGAATCAGAAGGGACCTACAGGGGCGCTGGAGAGGGACTCCTAGGAACTGAAGTTAAAGGACAAGGGGGCAATGGATTCAAATTGAAGGAAGGGAAATTTAGGTCAGATATTAGGAAAATGTTTTTTACTGTGAGAGTGGTGAGACACTGGAACAGGTTGCCCAGGGAAGTACTGGCTTCCCCCTGGCAGTGTTCAAAGCCAGATGATCTGTAAGATCCATTCCAACCCCTAAAATTCTGATTCTATGATACTTTCAACAGTAAACAGGCTATTATTCAGCATTGGCTAACTAGAACACTCTTAAGGTAAATACACTGAAGTAGAAATAAAACCAACATGCTGAAATCATCAATAATGGCTATTCATGCCACAAAGCAAGTGAAAGAACTAAACACCTGAATTATGCTCCTAGAAAAAACTCTACCACAATACTGCAAGGTGTGCTCAGTTCGCCTAGGCATGGAGAGCAAAAGAAAGTGCTTTTTGCAGTAAAGTACAGAGGACTTCCTGTTCCACTCAACACTAACATCCATGACCAATTCATGGTGCAGGAAAAAGCTGCAGTCAGAGTAAAGTTTAGGATTTACTGCTGCCAAACACCAGCGTAACTTTAGGGTATATCTTTTGTGTTGTTAATTAAGGCCAGTACTGGGGATACAACTGATCCATGTAAGATTTTATGTCCACCTGAACATATGCAGGAGAGAAATTATCACAAAAGTAGCTATAAATGGGTTATTCTTTCATCCTCAACCAAACATTTAGCAAGACTATGTTATTTAGTAATTTTCAACCTGTTAAATTGCAACAGGTTTCAACATTACCAGTTTCCCTTGCCTGAATATTTTTCCTTCTCACTTCCACAGTGGAGGGAAAAAAAACTTATTAGCACTCTGTTCCCTCCTTGTGGAGCAGTACTTTCAGATTTCAATCTATGGGGCTGAGAAAAAAAATCACTTCTTGTGAATCTTCAAGGCCACGCAACATACAAGAAATAACATATTCCTAAATGGATGTTTTGGTAATTCCTTTCCTAGTCTCAAATTTAGCTCCTCACAGTTCCTTTTTCTTAATACACGTATTTGTTATGGCATTATATATAGCCTTATAGGCATGAAATATATATGTAGGAAAGTGGGGTTTTTGGTGTACCATGTATAATGCATAAAATTACAAAGCTGCAATCCTTGACACACAATTTCTGAAAAGAAAGTAATAAAAGACACCTTTATCTATTTGACACAAAGCTACTTGATAAATAGAAGTTGGGCAGTACAGGCAATTCTTAGGTCCTACTTATATATGAAAATAACTGCCATGAAAAAGGTAAATGTTAAGTGGACAAAGGACATTTCTTCAATCATGTCTACTTGATGGACTCTTTAAGATGGCAAACTTCACACTCGCTCTGTTTCCCATCTATTCATGATATGATTTATGTGAGATATTTAAGATTCATGTTTCTCCACCTGAACCAAAGCATGGCTGACAGTCCAGCTGTGAAGAAATAAATTTGCTGAGAATTTGACTTAGTACTACAGCATGTAGAATTTATCTGGAAACTCATCTGCAGTCTCACAAAAGTGTTTTAATGGTTACGGTCTACTAACAATGTCAGGGAAGGGAAGTACCTCCCAATTTTTTGAAAAAAAAAAAAAAAAAAAAATTAAAAATTCCATCCTCTAAATTAAGGCCTCCTCTGACCAGGGACAAAAGTCTTACATGACCTGAATTCTTCAAAAGATATCAACATAGAACACATCTGAAGGAGAAAAAAGATATCTGAGCACACAAAATGTTGGTCACATTGACGAAAACAGATTTCCAGTTGTTCATGTGATTATCACTGATTAAAAGCATACTTTAATTCAGAATATGTATGGCCACAGCTGCTATCTCAGTTCTGGCCATTGGTACAAATTGAAGAATTCACTTCTATCTTTCCCTGCTGCCATGATGTTTTCCTTCATGAGAATCAATCCACATGGAAGAAAAATTTGGTTACAGCAAATGTCTTTGGTGCAGTGTGAATACCCCTCAGACAAAAAGGTTTCCCCAGAAGAATTAATGCCAATCACTTTCCATGTGATTTATTAGAGTAACTCACATAAAAAAATGAGTAAACAATCTGGGCAAAGCTAAAGTTCAACAGACTTTTTCCTGTACAGAAAAAGCCCCATATAATTACAAAATGTAAATAAATTGAACCAACTTCCATCTTCAGTTGTTTTGATAGGATCATGAAAACTTGAGTCAAAATATTATAGTTTTCATAATAAACCAACTAGAGTAATAGAAATTAGACAGTATATTTAAGGCAATATGAATGAAGACTGACAGACATAGAAGGAGATATCAAAGAGGTGTATTGGTTTAATTTTCTTTCGAATTAACATAGAAATATATGCTTCTTTGTAAGAACTACATACATTTTATTTAGATAAAGGTATGCAATGAGAAAAGTATGATTCTCTACCATTCCTGAGGAACTTAAAAGGGACTATAGTAAGAATTAAGTTAATTTTGTAACTTCTGTCTACAGCGATTAAATCAGCCTGTGTATTAGCAGTATAATGAATCAGTACATTCATCTTAAGTAGCCTGCAAAAGATTTGAACTAATGGAAGTTTCTATCTTCTGAAGTTTTCATTGTAGTAGATGATCCAGCACTTCAGAGCTTGGCATAATCTTTCAGGATCATTTCCAATTTCTGGCTCAGCATGATGTTCCCCTTCACTTTCAGTTTACCAGAAAAGAATGCCTAAAAAAAGCAGAGGAGGGGAAAAAACCATGTATTCAATTGTTCACACACAAACCAAATTGCTGCTGGAACCAAACAAAAATCCAAAGAGGTGTGGTTGTTCAGCACTCAGGAGACAGCCTTCAGTACAGAATGCCTAATGGTTATCAGTTATTAACGAAAACCAGTCAAGTTCAATTCTAATAGGATCCAGAACCAGGGTTTTCCATCTATAGTGAAGACAAGGCCAGGCCTATCACCCAGAGGAAAAAAAAATAAAAAATGCATCAACTTCAGTGGCCTCTGTTTCTTTTCCATGTATAGCACAGAGTACTTCCCATGGTGTACGACAAACTAGCTCACAGAAGCTAATGGCAAAACTTTAGCTGGGCACAAAAATAAAGCTCCTAGCCTCATTCACCTATGCTACAGTTATTCAAATATCCCTATGTGAAAAAATGGAATGAAAGGGTTATTTAATGAACATTAAAGGCCCAATGAAAAGATATGCTATGCACTCAAATTCATAATAAATCCAAACAGGAACTTGCACAATGTATGTACACCCACATTGCAAAGAAATACACTGGGTCTATATATAGCATATTACAACAAACAAGAACTAAGATTTTGTTGCATTTTCAGAATCATAGGATCAACCAATATTTTCACTGAAAAGATGGTATATTACATTTTTATTGTCTTTACTTCAAAGAGCTGTATATCCTGTTTCAATCTAGTTCCTATTTTTTTAAAACTAGTTTTGCTAAGCTGTGGCTTTGCAGTTTGAAATCACTTTGAAAGTTCTTAATGTGCTTTTGCATAGATCCATTAACTTGAAATACATTCAAATAAGGAATAGAGACAGCAGAAAAGAATTTTGAAAAAAGGCTTTGAGCTTCTTTAAATAAAAAAATCACAGAAACTCTGAAGAAATACTAATGCCTGAGAATAGATATTCCGGAATTGAAATCACTGTTCTTTAGTTTTCTGATGATTACACGTCAACATCTTGCTTGCTTGTGCTTTATGCTTGCTATATATAGAGAGTCACAAAGGATTTTACTCTTGTGGCATGTAGGACAAACAAACATTTGCCATGATCGCTACTCACTAATTTTACAATCAAAGTCTTCAAAAACTTCTGCTTGGGATCAAAGAAAAGGAACTGTTTGATATATGATGAATTTAATTAAAATTTTCATTTGCTCAAACTTTAATCTGTAAGATGACATATTAAATTTGTGACAGCTTAATTTATCTTTACACAGGCATTTTTATTAGTAAAATTAGTAGTTTTAAGCAGTTGATTACTCCAAGAAGCTAAAAGCACAGACCCAAATTACAGAACTTTGTTAATTCTCTCTTTCTCTGAAAGAGATACTAGCTAATTCGGGTGAATTTTGATCAGTTTCAATGCTCTGACATTTCTCTTTGCTGCAGTAGTAGCAGTAAATCAGAACATTGCAACAAGTACCAACTTGCTTCAACATGACAATCAAAACAGCCTAAATGATCAAATTGACAAACCTAAGCTTGCAAATCATCTATTGTGAAAGTACCAAGAAACTAACTTTGCACTGCCAGGCTTTATCTCGTTTGGTGGTATCTTTGTCTCAAGATAATAAAGACAATGATGTGCTTATACCTCATCTGACTGGTTTGCACTGTCAAAACATCCATTCTTGCAGATTTCAGAAGACAAATAGTCATGAACCAGAGCCTGATTTAAGGCAAATAGTATGTCCCCATGCAAATGAATATGTCTGTGACACACAGGTTTTACCTTCTGGGGGTTAGTCTTTTGTTGTACCACATCCATGAAATCCTCGTCCGAGAGAGTGAAGGTGGTATCAGCAGAACTTCTGGCAGGTCCTTGATACACTGCTCCAGAGCCATTCTTTAAGTCAATTGCTGAGAAGCAAAAGCAAAGAGAGTTTAATTTCAAAAGAAAGATAACATTTTCAGGCTAAAGAACACTACTCTCCTTATTATTACAAAGCATCCAGCCTAAATATGTATCTTGAGCAAACAGACAGTTAGAAAATGAATTACTTGAAAATTTTTTTCTTTAATGAAAGAAAACTTAAAAAAATAAAGCCCTTCCTGTACTAAGGTGGTGGTGGGGAAGAGAGTTACAGCAAAAATAGCCATTTAAAAATTCTTACAGCAATGGTAAAAAGTATTTTTAAACAACACTAAAGATGCACAAGATACTAATTAGTGCGATTACTTCAAAAATGTTAAAGCTAGTAATGAAGGTCTCATGTTTGAAAACTGCATCCTATATTCAGAAAAGGCAAATGTGGTGATGTTCAAGCACACTGCTGCATTTTCCCTGTTCTGTCCCACAGGCAACAGCCTGTTCTGCTTCATGCAAAGAACATATAAAGCCTTGTCATGTATCTGTCTTTCTCTTCTGGAAGAGAAATAATTCCTCGAAGTGTCTGTAGCTTCAGAGTGTTCTTTTTCACATCAAATGACCTGCCAAGATATTTGCTATTGCAAAGCCAACAAACACTACCAGGTACTGTGTCATTTGTTTAGAAGCATATTTTGCTAGGATGTGCTCTGAGAAATCACTCTCAGATTTTGCAAATTCCCTGTCTTTCCTTTACACCTTTTTCCCTTTATAAATCACTTCCCCCACCCCTTTAAAAAAAAAAAAGAATTAATCATGTGGTTTCAAGTGGATGTTCCCATAAGGACATGGCACCTCTAATCACAGAATCATGGCTGCCAGTTAGTTTCCCTTCATTGGCAAATTTTAAGGCACTTGCTGAACTATGGGGACCTTATTTCTGAATAAACTATATCATGTGCCATTTTTTTTCAAGTGACTTTTTTGGAAGGGTAAGAGGAACTATAAAGACTGGGAATAGCTTTAGTCTGTTAAGTCTTTCGTCTTCTGAAACCAGTTTAAAATAATACTTATCCAGTTATAACAAAACTAGAAGGGTTATTAAGTATACAATTGTTGCTCAGTGAGAAGTGACATACTGTATTATTATTACCCACTTGACTTCGAGGTAAATTATAATTTCTGGAACAGGTTTAATGCATATAACTAACTTGATGCAATATGAGAAGAAAGGAAAACCACAACTGACGATGGTTGAAGACCAGCTGAAGATGAATGACGTTTGTGGGTAGGAGCTGTGTAGCATATTTCTGATCCGGAACAGCTACTATATAGTTTAACATCGTACATGAGCCTTTACCATTGCTCCTGCAGGCTATGCAGGCACAGACTACTACTAAGAAAAAAATAAATCAAGAAATCATCTATTGAATCATGAAACGCAAGTTTCACATTGGATACCAGCTCCTCAGACTAAGTTAACCAAGCTTAACTGTGCTTTTAAATACACCTCTACTCCTTTCCATGAAGAAATTCTTCCTGATGCCCAACATCAACCTCCCCTGTCACAGCTTCAGGCCATTCCCTCTCATCCTGTCAGTAGTTGCCTGTGAGAAGAGGCCAATCCTCACCTTGCTACAACCTCTTTTCAGGCAGAGACCAGTAAGGAGGCCCCTGAGCCTCCTTTTCCTCCAAGGTGAACAACTCCAGCTCCCTCAGCCTCTCCTCATAGAAACGTGTGCTCCAGACCCTTCATGAGCTTTGCTGCACCTCAACATCTTTCTTGTAGTGAGAGGCCCAGAACTGGACACAAGACTCAAGGTGCGGCCTCAACAGTGCTCAACAGAGGGATGATCACTGCCTTGGTCCTGCTGACGACACTACTTCTGATACAAGCCAGGATGCCATTGGCCTTCTTGGCTACCTGAGCACACTGCTGGCTCATGTTCAGCCACTATCAAACAGCACCCTCAAGTCCTTTTTGGCCAGGCAGCTTTTCAGAACCTCTTCCCCCAGCCTTTAGTTCTGTGTGGGATTGTTGTGACACAAGGACAGGATCTGACACTTTGCTTTATTGTACCTCATTCAATTGGCCTCAGCCCACTGCTCCAGACTGCCTCGATTCCTCTGCAGAATGTTCCTACTCTTCAGCAGATCAACTCTCCTGCCCAGCTTGGTGTCATCTTACTGAGGGTGCACTTAATTTCCCTTGTAAAAGATGAAATTAAAGATATCAAACATGGCTGGCTCCAATACTGAGCCCTAGGAAACTCCACTAGCGACCAGCTGCATTCACTACCACTCTCTGGGTCCACCCATCCAGACTTTTTTTAACCTAGTGAACAGTGCACCTGTCCAAGCTGTGGGCTGCCAGTTTTCCAGGAGAATGCTGAGGGAGACAGTATCACAGGCTTTGTGAGGTAGACACATCCACAGCGTTTCCCTCATCCACCAGGTGGGTCACCTGCTCACAGAAGGAGATCAGGTTGGTCAGGCAGGACCTGCCTTTCATAAACCCATGCTGGCTGGGCCTGGAGCCTTGGTTGTCCCATATGTGCCATATGATCACATTCAAGATGATCTGTTCCATCACATTCCCCGTCACCAAAGTCAGGCTGATCACATAAAATTCTTAATCCACCTCAAATTAACAACCAAAAAACCCACCAAAACAGTGGACCAAGCTAATGGCATGTTATTCTCCCCAAAATATGAAAATACTATTTACACTTCTTCTGTATGCTTTCTAATGAGTATTAAGATTTTTGAAAAGAAAAACTGAAAAAATAGAGTAGCCATAAAAGAAAAGCATTCTGTGGCAACAAAAACTGTCTTTTTCACAAAAACATGATGAACCTTCTATTTTTTAATTTTCTTGCTACTTGATTCATCCTTCTTTTTAAGTGCTATCATAAATGAGTTATGACCTCTCTAATGCAAGCACTAAAAAAATAATAAAAATGCCGTACTGGAGAAGGAGTGAACCAAAATATATCATACGCTGGTATTTAGAGAAGGAAAGGACCTCCCGTCCTTATAAAGAATGAAAAACTACCCCAAAAACTTGCTCATTTTTTTTGCAGGGGAGAAAAACAAATAGAAGGATTAGAAACATATACAATCAACTTTCTTGCCTCCTGACCTATTCAAATGACACCTGAGACTAAACTACAGCATTGGCTAATGGACAAATGGATATAAAGTACCAATGAAAAGAAATTAGCTGAATACCATAACAGATTCCAACCATCAGAGCAGAAAATTTCTATCCTTCCAAAATGACCAGAAAGGAGGCCTTTTGTAAAATACAACTTCATGAGAAAAAGCTATGTAACACAGCTGCCTGTTGTAGCAGGAAATGGATTTGATCCAAGTCTCTATACACGTCCTCTACACACATGTCCTGGATACACATGTCTATGGTTATAGCTACCATCTCCCCAGTGCAGTGTGCAAGCTGCACTAGGGTTGCAGCAGCCAGCTTCATAGTGACTTGGTACTGGTGTAGCGATGTCAGCACTCAGGTGGCTGATGATCTGGGCAGCTGCCAGGCAACTACCTCATGTGCTGCTAGAGCAGCTCCACTGCTAGCAGTAATAGATGAGTAGCCTAAAGGTGTCTGCAGTGTTCTTTGTTTCTGAGAACGTGGAGTCCTCCATGGCTGCTACAGCTAGTGCTCTTCTCCAAATCTTCCACATGGCTGATCCACTGCACACAAAAATAGTCTGCAACATGGGTATGGTATTCCTTAATACTGTGTGTAGCAACACAACCTGAACTCAAGCTGAAGGCCATTTTAAAAATCAACTACCTTTTTAAGTATGCAAAACTTTAGTATCACACACCCGGCATAAAACTAGAATCAAAAAGTTCCAGTGAATCAAGTACTCATTCGCCTTCAAAGTTTTGCTTTTGGTTGAATACGTAAGTGTTATACTAAAGTAATTAAATACCTATGAATTATTATTGTTCATAAGATGCTCTTGACTAAGGTAATTCACTGGGAGAGTTTGTGTTGGGTCAGAGAGCGGGCAAATGTGCCTATGGATTGACTTGGAGTGGTGCCCAAAAGCTTTTTGGTAGAGGTCTCAGTTCCCAATAACTATTTCAGATGCTCCAGTGAAGCTACTGGGGCAGGATGGAGCTTGTACACATTGGGTACAGGCACTTCTAATAGAATGAAGAAATTTCAGTGAATAAAAGGAACATTTTTCTTCAAATTTTTGCTTTTGCTTGGCTACAAAAGTACTATATTATGGTAATTAAGTATCTATGAATTATTATTGTCTATAAGATGCTGTCATCAGAGATACAATAAAAACTGGGAAAAAAAAGCCATAGATATACAAGTAAAACACTAGACACTGACATTCTAAAGCAGGTAGCAAAAAAACCTAAAAAATCTAAGATCTGGGGGTACAGATTTTGCTTTGTCTTTAAAGAATGCCTTACCCTTTCTAGGAGAGAAATATTACCAGTCAGACTATTTTTTGTTTGGTCTGGTTTGGGTTTCATTCTGCTTTACAGTGGGTAAGTAATGGCAGTACAAGACAAGGCAATACAAGACTCATCCCCAAAGCAAACCAAACAAAATGTCACCCACTCCTCATTGCCTGAATTGCATCATAAATAATTGAGCGGTTTTGTCTTAATTTGTCAGCTGTTCACAAATGATGACATGTAACAATTGCTCCCCAGTTCTAACAGTTTAATTGTTCCAAGAACTGAAAAGGAACAGAAATATCTTCTGCCTTCAGCAGTGTCTTAGGAAGCATGGTGAAAAGCAACAGATGGAAAAACTCTTCTGAGTATGTTCTAGAGAGCCATTAACTATCAGCTAATGAATCTTGATGGCAGTGCCTTTTCTCTGTGGAAAGAGAAGTTGAAATTAAGTAACTTAACTCTAAAACAAAGATTCGTATTTCATAACCACCGACAACAAAGGTAATTGTTACACAGTAATAAATATGCAGCAGAGAGCAAAGCACGTTTTAGGAAGTGAAGCAAACAGGAGAAATCAAAGCTGGGGCAGTGTCATGTTAAAAAATAACAAAATATGTCTCCAGTACCACTATGCTTACTCCTTAGGTTTTGATTCAGCCAAAATCTGTATTGCTTTATCTTCTTATGAGGATTTTCAGCATCCTTTTAAATTAGAACAGCTTGCTTTTATACAGAAATACCATTAATTAAGGCCAGCTGTCAGTGGCTACAGTTCAACATTGTATAGACCGCAGACGAATTGTCCAAAATTTCACATCCTGAGTGCATGGTCAATTGTTCTACACCTCCCCATGGCTTCGCACCATCCACGGAGAACTATACAGAAGTAAAGGTCATTGCTAGTTAAACACACTAGTGCTACTACAATTACTGCCTCCATCAAGAAGTATTTCTGTAACAACAAAAGCTAAATTCAATTCACAAATTCTACAGAATCACAGAATTATTTAGATTAGAAAAGATCTCCGAGATCATTGAGTCCAACCTATAACTGATCACCACCTTGTCAACTAGGCAAGTGCCTCATTCTGTTGTTCCTTGACGGATGGTGACTCCGCCACCATCCTGGGCACTCCACTCCAATGTTTAACAACCCTTTCTGTAAAGAAATTCCTCCTGATGTCCACCATGACCCTCTCCCGCCACAGCTTGAGGCCACTTCCTCTTGTGATGTCACTAGCTGCTTGAGAGAAGAGGCTGACCCTCACCTTGCTACAACCTCCTATCAGGTAGCTGTAGAGTGATAAGAGGGTAAGATCTACCCTCAGCTTCCTTTTCTCCAGGCTAAACAGCCTCAGCTACTCCTCATAACTCTTGTGTTCCAGACTCTGCACCAGGTCCATTGCCTTCTCTGGACTCACTCCAGTACCTCAATGTCTTTCTTGTAGTGAGAAGCACAGAACTGGACACAGTACTCCACGTCCTTAATACTGCTGCTTTCTCTCATTTGCTTCTCTCCAAGTGTCCTCCCAGACCTTAAGAGGCTCAATGACATAAGAAGAAATTGTTGGAGCTACAATCATTGAGTAAGACTGCATTGGGCTGCAGGGTCCACATTGTTTCTAGCGCTGTCAACTGCTGCAGTTATCACAACAGCACAAAATTGTGCAAAAGTGGTAAGTCAAAAAATTAGAAGACAAGACAGCACAACTCTGTAACAAATTTAATAAGAGAAAGAGGCCCAGCAGGTAGCCCAAAAGAACTAGACATACTGCTTGAAAAGGCCAGGTAGGCTCTTAGAAAGAGAGGCCTAAAAAGAAAGTAGATAATTAAATAATTGGTATTGACTTGGTTTAAAACAAACCAAAAAATTCCCCCAAAATAATATTCTTCCTCACATTTCAGTTGTTTCAGTGATAACAAGTCAAGAATTTTGATCACACATTGAAGGAGCATGCAATGTTTACCCAGATGAACTGAATTCTAAGTTAATTTTAATGTCATATTTTCCTTTTGGCTTTCTTGTAGTTATGTACATTGTGGGACCTACCATTCAAACCTGCAATTTTACTTAGAAAAGAAAGATAATGCAGAATTGTACTAATCTAACAACATAACATTTACAAAACTGATTTAAAATTATTTACACAGAAGATCAACTAAGAATCAACTAGGACAAATTTAAATGTAGTGTAAAGAAGTGCAATGCTACCGACAGAGTTGTGTAACACTCAAATCTGAAGCTGGTTTGGAACCAGTCAAAATAGTGACACATAAATAAAGTCAAACTTTAGCAAAAGTTAACATCTTACTACCATCTTCAGTTTTTAACGGTCAAAATTAATTTTTCAAAGGCTAATTAAATTATCAAAAGCTAAAAGGTCCTGGTTTTGTTTTCCTTGCATTTGTTTGGATGTATTTTTTAATGACAGAACTAGTGTTTTTAAGAATTCCCAAAGTAATTCCATCATGCAGCTATAGATATACCTTGCCATTAGAAATGCACCATTAGAGTCAAACAGACAGCAAGAGTAGTATGCTACTGATCCATAGAAGGACAAATTGTGAGAGTTTACATTACAGTGGTCATAACTTCTAACACGGACAGTGAGTTTACATAACTTTTAATATTTCACTATGACAACTTAATATTTAAATTATTAGTAAGAGAAATTTCAAAGATATAAAAATATTAAGAAAGCACAAAACCCCCACAGAAATCAGAAGACACAAAGTTCTTCGAAAAAAGAGATATATTCCTGATAAAAAAAGTAAGCAACACTTTCTACAGACATGCTTCTGGTCACCTTGATATTTAAATTCAGCCTTATATATTTAGTACACCACAGAGACTACAGTAATTCATAAGCTTGAAGGAACTGACTACCCTTTACAAATATTCACAGTAACTTTTCCAAGATTTTGGAAATGCTTCATTTTAGCTCTTAATATTAGTCAGCAACAGGAAATGTTTAAAATATTAGATTACCTCCTCCATTCCACAGGAATGCTTTTAAGTTTTTTTCAAAATTTGTATAAAAGTACAGATAACTTTCACTGCAACAGAAGCAGAGGGAGCAGGACAAAAGTTATGTCTATTTAAGCCCTTTTAGCTAGGGAAATACGCACTGGAAAAAGGCACTACTTTCCTCCCACTAATTCAGTAGTAAACACAAGAGAGGACAAGCATTGTTTGAAAAGCAGGAAAGGCTGATTATTGAGAAATTACTGTACTGTATTGTATAAATTAAGGGCTTGCTATCCCCCACTCTTATGGAAGTTTATTGCATAAATTTAAGAGTTTGTTTGCTAATGCCTTTTGGGGTCTAAATATGGGGTTGGTTGACAGAGTTATGGCCACTGTACAACAAAACCAAACGTTCGCTCACATGTGGCCTGGTTTCTTTGTTCAGCCTGATGAGAATCAATAACAAATACCACATCCACCACAGGTTGTGACACTGGCTCCAATCATTGAGACCAATCAAAACAAAGAAATCTAAGTAACAGACTTTACCCAAAGACTTTCATTTCTCCACAAAAATCACAAAAGCCTGGAATTTACAGCCTGACTAACTAAGCTTTATCCTTCTGGAAAAACTTTAAATTCCACTTATAGATCAGCAGACACCCTAAAAAATAGTTCCAAAGACTACAGAATATATTCAAATACTAAAGTTGCATCGTTTGTTGGGGGTTTTTTTAAATACATATTCTTGTAAAGAGAGCAGAAGAGAATTTAAGAACAAACATTTTTTGAGGAAGTAGTTTTGCCCCCATCATACCAGATCTCTTACTAATCCACTTTACCAGGGAACAGTTCCGCTCCAACCCATTGCTATTACAGCCTTTAGTCTCTCTGCATCAACGAGACCCATGCTTCAATGATGGGCAATCATGATTATACTTTCATTAAACCTTGATCTCAGAAAATCTGAATGGAAACAAACTGGGCTATGCTTTCACTGACATGACAAGAACAATGCAGTAGAAATAATTACTTATTTGTTTTAGATCAGCTAGCATGTACATCACCAGCAGACTAATGACTGTAAGAGAAGAGCTCCTAGCAGGTTAATTTAGCCTGCTTTCCTTAGATGAGGTGGCAATCCAATCTGGAAAATGTAAACAGAAATGCCCTGAAGTACTAAGGAATGGTTTTCCTATGCATACATCTAAAGTTATGGAAGTATGTTCCTAGAAAGGGTACTAACAGTCATCATGGAATTTTATCTGACCTCCTTGTCACTTGTGCATCCACACAGCATTCAGATTTGTAGGTCCCAGTGAATATTCATCTATTACCTTATGTTTATTTTCAAGCTACCAGTTTAATTAGAACAAACATAATTAATCTCACATAATAAAAAAGTCCACCATGGCATTATATAAAAGCTACAACTTACTCCACTGCATTGCTGTTTTTCCATCTTTAGTGATGTCCCATTGGAAAATGGCATTTACTTTCTTTACCAATTCATTTCCCATCTCTTTTACACGACGACCAATTTCTTCAAACACAAGGTCACTCTGCAGCCCTGAAGTCTTAAAAAAAAAGAGTATGAAGAATTCAAAATTGAAACTTCATTAAAAGGTACTGAATATGTCCCTTAGTTCAAGCACTGTGCCCAGGAAAGTATCTATAGTAGAATTATTAAATGCAATTGAGATTTCTTCCACTGCAAAATAATCACCTAAAGATTATTCTAAAGAGTATATACAAGAAGAAAATGCTTAACTTCAAATCTTCATTTCAAATTATTTCACTTCTTGCTTTTGAAGTTGTAGTCATTTATCATTAAAATATTTTTTTAAGCAGTGCTCTAAGAGTTTCTAAATTGCCCTTTATTCCCTTTGGAGGATAACAATTGCCACTTTTTCCATGGTAAATGGCAAGCTAGTTTTCAGAACAAAAAAGTATTTTGACCAGTATATTACTTGAACTTGACATGGAAAACATTCAAAACATAATGCACTACAAACAAAGTCAAAACTCCAGTGTAGACACAATTTAAGACTGGCAGTAGCTACATTCACATTTTCAACTTTTCCAAACATTATTTTGCAAGCCTTCCATTGTCTGTCTTTAAGAAATATTTGCAGTGGATAAAAGGCTACATATTAATAAATTACTTCAGTGACATTTTTCATCTAACAAACTGGAGTAAAACTTTCATAGCTTTAGCTGTTCTGCTGCACCTACCTGTACACCAAAATGCAATACTCCCCAGGCTGTCATCTTGTCACCTTTTAGGTTAAGCCTAACACTTTCCATTACATTACAGAGTTCCCCATGGCATTTAAATCTGCCCACCTTTATTCACTCAGGCTAGTTTCCCCTGGTAGATGTCTGCCCATCAGCAAATTTCTGCCACAAAGCACCTTAATTTCTCAGAGTAAGCTTGAAGAAAAACACTTGTTAAGCCCAACTTCTTTAAAAAAAAATCTTAAAAGTTCTAATGTTTGACCTTCAAATGCAGACAGGACAACAGTTTAGAAATCAGAGGATTAAACTCAGCCAGAAAAAAAACCCAGATGGTTCCTGGAATCTATCATATAATCATGGAATGGCTTGGGTTGAAATGGATTTTAAACACCATGTAGTTTCATCCCACCTGCCACAGGCAAGGACATAGAATCAACCGAGCTGGAAAAGATTTTCCAAGATAACTGAGTCCAACCCTACC